TACGCAGGGGGGCCCTAGACCTCGTACAGGGCCTCTCTCTAGCTGAGTGGGAGGGGGGGCCCCCCAGCCAGCCCCAAAGGCGCATGCAGTTCAGAAGATATTATATTGATGATGCTATAGATAGACTGTGTGAAGCGTAAAGTAACAAATTTACTTTTTTTTTCTTTTTTTTGTCTCCTTTTTGTGTTTTTTCTGTCTCTCTTTTGTCTCCTTTTTTTAGTTTTTCTGTCTCCTTTTTGTATTTTTTTTGTCTCCTTTTTGTATTTTTTCTGTCTCCTTTTTTTTTTGTGTTTTTTTTTGTTTTTGGCTGCTGGTTCTGTATTTCTTTATTGTGTATATGTGCTGCTGCTGTTATGTCTCCTTCTGTCTCTTTCTGTCTTTTTTTTGTCTCCTTTTTGTCTCCTTTTGTCTCTCTTTTGTCTCTGTTTTGTCTCTTTTTGTCTCTTTTTGTCTCTCTTGGAGATACAACCAAACAAAGCCGTCGTCTCTGTGGCTGTCGCAAACCCTAAACCCTAAACCCTAAACCCTCTAAACCCTAAACCCTGTAAACCCTCTAAACCCTAAACCCTCTAAACCCTAAACCCTCTAGACCATGAGCCCTCTAGACCCTAAACCCTCTAAACCCTAAACCCGCGAAACGCGCTAAACCCTAGACCCTCTAAACCCTAAACCCTAAACCCTCTAAACCTTCTAAACCCTAAACCCTCTAAACCCTAAACCCTAAACCCTAGTTTGTAAGACTCGCGTTTGTTAGACATATCTGTCTAGACCTGTATCGACTAGAAAGAAGTAGAGAAGAAAGAAGAGCTCCTGCAGGAGACAAAAGAACCGCAATTCCCACATCCTACTCTTTTGTTGCTGCTTCTGCCGCTGCTGCTGCTGCTGCTGCTGCTGCTTTGCTGCTGCTGCTGCTGCTGCTGCTGCTGCTGCTGCGCTATCCTTGAAAGTATAAGCACAGCCAAGGCGCAGCGTCGCCTAGTCGGGCCCCCCTACTAGGGCCAAAGCATAGGGGGGCCCCCGTGGGGCCCCCCGGGGGGCCCCCGGGGGGACCCCCGGGGGGCCCCCAATGCGTGGGCCTGCGAAGGGGCTAAACATTCCTTGAGAGGCCCCCAGGGGCCCCCCACTAAGGGGGTCTTCGAGTGTGGGGGCCCCTGGGGGACCCATAGTACACGGCTGGGGGCCCCATACATCCCTTGGGGGCCCCGGAGGGGCCCCATGGGGGCCCCCCCAGTACCCTCCTATACGGCCATATATTCCTAGTACCCAGATATTCCTTGGGGGCCCCCTGGGGGCCCCCTAGTACACTGCTTGGGGGCCCCAGACATTCCTTCCCTTAGTACCCTCCTATACGCCCAGATACTCCTTGGGGGCCCCCTGCGGCCCCCCTAGTACACTGCTTGGGGGGGGGCCCTTGGGGCCCCCTAGTACACTGCTTGGGGGGGGCCCCTGGGGGCCCCTGGGGGGCCCCTGGGGGGCCCCCCTTGGCCTGTTCAGTGGGCCGCTGCCCCCGCAGCTCCTCCCCTGTAGCAATCTGGGCAGTACCAGGTGTCGTCTTCTCTTGTCTCTCCTGCATAGCCCTGGGGAGGAGACAGAAGAAAAGGAGACAGGAGAAAGGAGACAGGAGAGAGGAGACAGGAGAAAGGAGACAGAAAAAAAGGAGACAGAAGAAAGGAGACAGGAGAAAGGAGACAGAAGAAAAGGAGAAAAGGAGACAGTGGAAAAAGAGACAGTAGAAGAGACAGAAGAAAAGGAGACAGGAGACAGGAGACAGGAGAAAGGAGACAGTGGAAAAGGAGAGAGAAGAAAAGGAGACAGAAGAAAAGGAGACAGGGGAAAAGGAGACAGAAGGAGACAGAGACAGCAGCACACGCAGAAAAAAAAAGAGAATATGAGCTGCCTATACACCCCAACTTGCTGCCCCGGTGTTCTAAACAGCTGCCTGTACACCCCAAGTCAGAGCCTTTGCATAAACCCTAAACCCTAAACCCTTCCCCCTAAACCCTAAACCCTAAACCCTTCCCCCTAAACCCCAAACCCTAAACCCTCCCCCCTCTCCCCTCCCCCCTC